AGATGCAGAAAATTTTCAACAGAAATTTTGGAATTTAGGGTCACAATTCTGTTACCAATAACCATATACTTCGTCCTTCAGTTGCTGGAGGGGAAAATAAAAATAAAAAACTTAAAAAAGAAAAAAGGCAGACCTTCATTTCAATTAAAATTTAATGTTTTTGTTTCAATTACAGCCAGGTTGAGCCTTGGCTTTAATTAAAGAGTGGTCAGTCTGCTTTTTTCCACCACTCAGAAGCAATAACTCTGAAAACATGGTGAGGAGCCAGTTTTTAAGCAAAGAAATGATACCAGAGGAAAGGCAAAACAATCAGAATCCAGGAAAGTAATGGATTACATAAAATAAGAATTACATAGGTGAAACAGGAAATGCTGAAGAGTTCATATGGAGATGTAATCCATACCTTGTATATTTTAAGGGAAAAGTTGTCTTCCACTTAGACTGTTTTTTCTGAAGCAAGTTCTTATATTGTGCCTGTTGAGTGATGGCAGTGACACAGTGAACGTATCCAGTATATTCAGTGTTTCACCTGTGATGTGGAGAGACCTGAGTGTTGTAAAAGAATTGGAAATGGTCTTTTGTGATGTTGGTAGGAAGGTGGAAATTAACTTCTCAGAACTGCCAAAGTACCACAGTGCAATAGCCATTTCCATTTTGTAACACAGATTGCCTTCTGCCCTTGGTAGTGGTAAGTGGGCAAGAGCTCCCTTTGCAAACTCAGGAAAGAATCTGTACCGTGGAAAGCCCTTTTTACTAAGACAAAATTTATCATTTTGCCTAAAATGTTACACAAGGGAGAGATGAACACGCTCAGGAGAGCAAATTAAAGTTATTGAGAGTTAACAAAAAAATCTGAGATCTGTATCTCTGTTCTTAAGTGCCTTACCATCTTCTGTACACACATTCTTTACAGCAGTTTCAGAACTCCTGCACTTGTGAACTGGTCCAATTTTATTCCTCTCCTTATCAGATAATGATCATAATTGGTGTATTGTCTCTTCGTATCTTGCTTTTGGGTATAATACTAAATTTGTTCAGTAAATGAAGTTTATAAGTGTTTGAGCTGGTACGAATAGAAACCAGTCTAAAAACCTTGTAAGAATGATAATGTGCTGGAGGAGGTTTGTGTTTTCTTTTTTCTTTTCTTTCTAAATGGCATTTAGGTGTGTTGAACTTGATAAAGAGGAGATCCTGTTTGGCGGGTACTCTGCTGTTGCAATTTCTGCAAGCCATGGGAATAAGGGAGGGCATTGCAATTCTATATATAAAGCATCCAAGCTTGAAGAGGTAAGCCTAGCAAGTGGTAGCAGTGGTACTGCTCATTTGGAACGCAAGGTAGTGCTGAGAAAACCTCTGCAGTTAGGGCATGCATCATGTTTCCAACAGTAGTACTGCTCATCTTCTGCAGTTTTCTGCAATCTGCTGGTAAGTTTAAGATGCTTGGCTTTGTCTTGGTATACAATCTGAAAGAAAATACCCATGTATTGATACAAAGTGGGTGACTCCATTGTAATATTATAAAACGTGAGGTTCAGGTCTTGCTCTCCTTTCCCACAATCATCAGAATTAAGTTTACACATTTTCCTCTCTCTTACTGCATCTTAGAACACAGCTGCACATTTAGTAGTACATGACTGAAATGGAACTATTTGTTCTTAACTTTTTTTTATAAGTGTGGTTACTGATTTGTTGGATCATTCCCTAAAACTGGTTTCCTAGATACAAAAAATATATTTTTAATGTATTTACATTGTGTTTCTTAGCTGCCAAGTGCCTTCATTTTTCAGATTTTCAAAGTGCTCTAGTAATGTCACTGTGGAAGCTGTGTATCTTCTATGTATAGTGATGGTCAAAACCTTTTTCCTTTGTTATGCAAACTGCAAGAAGTAGTAAGCATGAGCTATGTGATTGCACTACATTTTTGAAAAATGATGTGATAGAAAGAATCCTATGCTGGAAAACAGGCAAATTATTCCAGTCTAAAAATTTTACATGACTCTTAAGGTATTCCTGCATATATATTATTCAATTAATATATATTCAATTCATATATTTTATGCAATGAAATTCTTGAGTATTTTAAAGAGGTCTGTCTTTTTTTGGTCCAAACAAAATATCAGATGACTGAGTAATTTTTTGAAAAGACTTGACAGGTAAATTAACTGACTCTGTAGCTACTCTGCCTTCTTACTCATTCCTTTTGCAATAGTGTTTTTAATGAATTCTTTGAGAGTGAACCTGATTTGCCATGGTTTGGCAATGATTTCATTTCATCTCTTCTATATAGTCTCCGTAACTATAAATCATTACAGTTCTGATTTCAAGAACAGGTTGTGAGCTGCTAAATAGCATAATTCACTTGCTTTAGTTTGAACAAAGTTAAAATTATTTCTTATTCATTGCTTTTACTACGCTTAATGAACCATATAGTTCAGATTGCGTGAGGACACGTATTACTCTTAAATCATTGACTTACTTAAACTGTACCACTGAAAAAATTAAAACATAAATAACTCGGCCCTTTAGTAGACTCACAGAACAGGTGTAACTGCACTCACTGTATTAGCACCATTGCAACCAAGATCAAGTAAAGTACCTGACCGTGGGTCCTAATCCCAAATGCAGATGCCTGTAAATTCTTAATCTACATGACTTCATATGATAGATAAGTAGAAAATTACTCTCAACTCCTACTCAGCCGTAGGCTTTCTTGGCAACTACAAATAGAGCCTCATCTATAAGGGACTCTGTTGTCTAGGATAGAGATTCAGCTGATTTTAAACACAAAAGCCTAAAAGATCTAGAAAATTCAGTGCAGTCTTCTTGCTTTGGTATGTATCAGCATTCTGGAGCCTTGAAATGCTGTTTGAGGTTGGAGACTATGAAAACAAATAGAAGTTTCATTCTGTCAAGTAAGATTTTGCAATCAGACAATTTTTGGAGGCATAACTGTAAGAGGTTGATGTGGATGCCAACATGCAAGATGCTAGTTGTTTCAAACTCTAGATCCAAATCTTGTCTCTTTAGAATGAGTTAAATCAATGCAAGTACTCCAGTTCTCCTTTTCATGGATTTGCATCCAAATTCCATACATTGAGTCTGTCTCTAACTAGAAATGTATATGTTCTTTGTAAGGACATCTACCAGATTTCACATCAGATGTAAACTAGAAGACACACTTCCTATTTTCCTTAACTAAAGAAAAGCAGTAAACATGAATTAGCCTGATTTAAAAACCGGCAGAAATTTAAAACCATTTAAAAACTGTTAATTGTAGATTTTACTTAAGAGATGATGGTACATTGATTAGAGGCTTCAGCACTTTAGCTATTTCAATAATATTCAAAACTGCATGAATCCTTATGAAATATTTATGTAGTCATGATAGTTCTTCTTACTAAGTATGTAACTAGGAAGTTACCTTGATTTATGCTGTTCAGCCATTTTTTTTTTTTTGCTAAAGACAAAGGAATTTAATAATTTCATGCAGTAGAGAAATCATCATGAATATGTGCAACTGACTGAGTATTATGGTCATGACTCTAGCACTATCCTTGCTGTTAAATTTCCTTTTAGGCTTATGTAGTTTCTGGAAAAGACAAGAGCTTTAAAATAACTTCTTATTTCAACATTTCTTTTTGTCCCACATGAGAAGAAAAACTGAACCCTTTACAGAAAAGGAATCCTTAATTGTTTCTGTTTGGAAGTATAAAAGGTTTTAATTTCAATGTTTTACATCAAAGGAAAATATTTTGTTTTCATTCATTTAGCTGATGTGAAATACATTGATTGAAGTCATTACAACATAAAATTGTATTTTCCCATTGGGATATCTCATAGTAAACGTGGCATAGAAAGGAAATTATTTCTTCACAGTAAATCAAGTTCCCTGTCTGGATTGTATTGCTGTCAGACTGACCATACAGAATCTGCACCTTGACAGGTATAATTCTCAAGGAAATGAGGCCAGCTGGAGCAGAGTAGGAATTGAAAGTTAAACTTCCTTTACCTAAGAAAAGTGAAAGTCTGTTTAAAATTCTATTGAGCAATTCAAAGTCAAATATTTCATGTCAATTCAAAATCATCCCATTTCCCAAAGGAATACAGAATACTTGCAGTAATAGAAAAATGTCAGTCAGAAAGAATTCAGTAGTTTAAAAATCATTTACCACTAGGACAGCATTTTCAGTAGGGAATTCCTAAATGGTTGCTAGATACAACTTCTGCATGGGGCAATAGCACTTGCTGCATCTATGCAATCTGTCATTTCATGTGGTTGTGAATGGTTAATAACATTGCCATGAAAATTTAATCATCTCTTCAGAATTGTCAGAAAAAGAATGTAAATGCTGAGAATAATTACCATACTGTAATGAGTTTAATAGTTTGATCTGACAGGATACAGACTGATTGACAGATATTCAGCGAATGGCCCTGTATTTGTTTTACCAGCTATTGTTTGAGCAAAACTTTATAATGGATTTCATATCCTCAATTATTTTCAGTATAATTGTTGCATGCCTCCAGTATAATTCAGGATGATTATTACATTCAATGTTTGAATCTGAGTAGCAAACCTGGAGTATTTGTAACATTTTGTAACTGTTTGGCAAGCTTAGACTTACAAATTTTGAATTTGAAAAGCTTTGTAAACCAAACTGTTCTGGTCTAAAATATTTGTTCATAAAGTATTAGACTTCTGTTTTACATGAAGTTCTCTGGATAGATCTCACTTGAAATAATGTTTTAGACATACCTTCAATTTCTGCAAGTCAGATATCCTCTGGAGGCAGCTGTTACAGGCTCTCAAATTGCATTAATATTGTGTTTGTAGTTTGGGATTAAACTGTAGCAATTGCAAAACTGTTAAACCAACAATAATAGATTATTGAAGAAATGGACGTACCAAAATAAAGGGGTTCAAACAAGGCAGCAGCAACTCTAGGTGTGAAGACTGTTAGCTTGATACCCACGCAACCTATCACTTTTTGTGGTGTACTTCTTGTGATGCATGGTTCACTGGGAACTTGGAAGGACAGAGGAAGAAGCATTCTGTGTTCTGGAGATGCTTGCCGAGTGCAGGCTGATCGAAGAGGCTGTACTGAAACACTGGCAAAATTTCAAACAGTTATTTGCCATTGCTAACTCATTATAGAGGACAAGCCAGAGTGAGTAGGATCTACTATGATTTTGAGGAGCATGACAGGCAATTGTGGAAGCAGAAGTGCTGGCCATGCAGTGAGTCTGTATCGCAACTCAACAGCTAATGAGATTGTTTTGTGCTATTTCTTTCTTGTAGAAATGTTCTTGTTTAATTTATCAAGAAGTTATTATGCTGGTACCTTATTCCAACTTAGAAAAAATATGTTATGTTGTACTCTTGAGTTTCACTTTTTGTTTATAGAGCACTGTCCCACTGAAATGGACACAGTATCTAGGAAGAAGGATAGAAGGAATACATCTCGCTGGACTTCTGCCTTGGCATTTACACTGCAGTTACCTAAGGTTTCCTTTACACCAATGGAGGGAAATACAATTTTTGTGTCTAATCCATTTGTTCTGTGTTAAGATACATATTTTGCAAGTCAGATTGTACTCAGCAAATCTGTATTTACCTTCACAGCCTGTGAAGAGAATATAGAAAACTGGCTGAGATATATGTCATTTAAAGCTATTGGAACAATTGGGGTGGGAATACTTCTGTCACTGAACTTACATCCTTGATTTATTTCCCTTCTGTCTAGATATTCATTGTATATAATTCCACCAGTGTAGTATTTTGTTTCTTAAAAGCTTAGAGTAGTTTATGCAGATAACATCCTTTAAAATGTGTTCTTTCAGAGAAGAACAGAGGCAGAGACTGACAGAGAAGTTGGAGATGTCTGGATCTCAGATCCATAGCAAAGGCATGTGCTGGAACTCCAAATTGCCCTCTTGTTCCTTAACGTAGCCTCACATGCAAGACAGAACTTCATCCGTTTTCCTACAGTCCTTGAAATATTACATGATAAATACTACATCACATCAGCAGCACAGTGTAAAACTGGCTTGAGAGTCCCTTACAGTTAGTGAGCTCCCTAGAGGCTTTTAGTGTCTTCAGTATATAAAGAACCAACAGAAGCCCGCAGAGCTTGGCCTGCATATGTATGCAGACTTGGCCTGATTTATGTAATTAAAGAAACCTTCTGCCGTAACATTGTTGAAAAAGATCCTAAACATATAGCAGAGAATTATATGGTTTCTACAGGATATTTGCTCCTGTTAAGTAAGAAATACTGGACCTGACAAACTTTAAAAAAGAGTAGCCCATTTCTGAAGCCTACTGGATACTTTTTCTTACAGCTTGCTTTGGTTGCTGCTATCCAGTTAGTTACTCTATGGGAGCTCATTCCATGCATGCACTACCTCTGTTCCTGCACAGGGCTCACTGCTTGTAGACTGGCTGTGGCAGCCTGTTTTGCCACCTGTTTTACTCTCTTTGCACTTTGGACAGGAAGCAAGCTGCTAGGTGAAAGAATCTTTGGGTATGTATGAGGACACGGTGCAGTTACATGCATGCAGTAGGTCTGGGTTTGTGGTGGAAGAGGGATCATACTGTACTCCATATTTGCTAAACAGTCCCTGGCTTCTCATAACCAGGACAGTCTTTGTGAATAAGAGGTGTGTGGAAGGAAGCAGATAAAAGTTTTCATCATACTGCCTTACCATGAGCAGCAAAAGTGAAAACTAAGGCCTGGGGATTTCCCACTGTTCAGCTACAGACCCCGCGATTCTTGTGAAGAACACATGGGATATTGCTTCTCCCATGTTTTCCCCGTTTTGGCTGTTCCCTCCACTACTTCTACCCATACGGTGGAATAAGAATTCCAAAACAGGAGGAAAGTTTTATTCCACAGATTTCTAATAAGGAACAGAGGATTCAAGGACAAAGTGCAGGAAACCCCATATTGTACAGGATTTCTGGCAGCTTTTGGTTGTAAAAGCTTTTGTTTGGTAGTTTTATCAGTTGTAGAGTCATTTTTTTATTACAAGATGAATTATGTGGTTTTCCGCTATAATTTCTGCTCAGTTTTGTGTGGCAGGACACCATTTATATCTGCTGACACTGCTTTGACTTGTGCCATGTTTGAATATTTGTTTATTTATTTTTAACTTCCTTGTGCTCAGAGGATATATTCTTCCTGTTTTGTTTTTCCTTTCACAGCTTTTGAAGGAAATTATTGGCCTCACTTTTTTCTCCAAAACCAGAAAGAATCTCTGCAAAGAAGTAAGTGCCTGACCTGGTGTTTAACGTTCATATTGCAATTCAGTTCAGCATCAGTTCTGTATTGCAGAAGATGCTGTAGAAAGCGCATAATAAAAATAAGTCCTTGCCTCAAGGAGCATGTGTTTTAAAGCATTAGTTTTAGAAATCCCAAATGAAGAGTTTGCTTATAAAGCACAGTAAAATAAGTTGTCTCGCTCTGGTAAGTTTTATGCTGAATGGAAAGTGCTTTAGTGTGCCATGCTGAGGTTTTGATGCCTCAGGATAGAAACTGTGAAGCAGTTTAGTAGCCTTCCACATTTAGAAATTTGCTACTGAGGTAATTGGTGTGATCTGCTTGGTTTTCATTCCTGCACTTAGGTTAACATTCTCTAAGAATTCAGGAAATGGATTCTTTTGATGCTGCAAAATCCAGGAAATGAAATAAAGCTGATTAGAGGCTATGAGATTATTTTAAAGATTGCAGGTTAAAACAAATTTATGTGTAAGTGAAAGATCAAAATACAGGATAGTTCTTCCTCACCTTTATAGCCAGCAGCCAGTGTGGAGTCAGGGTTTGGACAGGTCTTCAACATCCAGCTGTGCCAGCTGAAGCTATTTTTGCTGCAGTTCTGGTAGTTTCCCAGTTTTCCTTTAGCTCCTAAGAATGGCCTGTGTGCATGAATCCATATCTGTAAGGAAAATTAACTCCAGCCACCTACTTACTGCAGGTTTGTGCTAGTCCTTCTGAATCTAAGAAATACAAAATATAGTAAGATACCACTATCAAATAAAAATGTGTACCATGCCAAGGCATAATTAATGTATTAGCTTTAAAGTAGTAAAAATTATAGCTATCAGAAATACTGTTAGGAAAGTAGGTATCACTAAAATGTCAACTCACAATTAAAGTGGTAACATTTGACAGTAGTGATTGTGGTATTTTCTGTTACAAAGAAATTTTGCTTTGATTCAAAAGGAGGCTGGACAAGTACTTGGGAGTCAGAGCACAAGCAGGTTAAGCAGACAAATCCCAGCCTCACAAAATACCCTGAACTGAAAATAATTGTAGATTGCAGAGTATCTGCAGAAGCATGCATGCCTGACCTGATGGTACTCTTCTCTTCGGCAGTCTCCTGATGATCACTGCTGGAAATAAAATAAGCAAGCTACATCAACACTTGGTCAGAACTAATACAACTTTTCACATGTTCTTTTCTGAAGAAACGTGAGGCACTGACTTTTCAATTTAAATTTTGTTCATTAAACATTTAGTTTTCCACATCCATGACAAGAATGAACAAATGTCATCATGATAACATACGTACAGGGTGTGCTGTTCCCCTACTAGATCTTTTCTAAAATAAATGTGTGTATCAGTCCTAGTATTCTGCGCATTATCATATTCTATTTACAGACATTCTTCCTAGGATTCCATAATCTTAATATTTTATATTAAAATACTGTGCTTTACTGTTGCCTACTGGTAAAAAGCAACTCTGTACTGCAAGAGTTGCTGCATTTCAGTGGTTGATAGTGAAACTGTTAATCTAGTTTAGGGAAAATGCAGAGATCTAGAACAAAAGAATTCTATAAAATGCAAATTTATTATAATGAGAAGCAGAGTGTGGCTTGAATTAAGTGAATTCTCATTCAGCATATGCATAGAAAAGCTACATGAAGTTCATCCTATAGGTAAAAATAGTTGAATTTGTGGCCAGACAGAAAAATAATAAAATTCAGCAAGTCATCTCTGTCTTCTTTCTGTTTTTACAACAAGAGGAACAGTAGGGCATGGATATACACAAAGTAAAGGAAAATCTAGGTATCACTTAATAAAACTGAACTCAAAAGACAAGTATAGAATCTAGTGTTAAATATCTTGAGTTATTGACATTCCTGTCATAATATTTAATATTTTTTGTAATAATATTTAAATAAAAACAAATACACCTACATTTATCGAAAGGGGCTCCTATTGCACTCTGACCATTGTGCAGCCCCAGCTAATCATTTCTTGACACACTCTGAAAAAGCTGGGATTTGCTGGTTAGTACAGCACAGTATATTACACTAGCTAGAGTTGGGCATGAAGAATCAGTAACAATTAGCCAATTCCTATTTTCCAGTCAGACGTTCTGGACAGCACAGAAGTATGGAAGAGGAGTACTTTTTGCCAACAGGTAACAGTTCACTGGGAAACAGTATTTTCTACTTGATCTGAATAAAACCAATACCACTCTTTAAGAGAGCAGAGAATAAAAATTGCAGGTAAACTTTGCAAAATTTTCCTGATACTTTATGCTTCTAAGATATATTCGAAGATACCTGAGCTTCATATAACTCTAAAAGCAAAAATAATTAAAAAATGAAAAGTAACTGAGTCTGGACATGATTTTACTGACTTCAGTAATTCTGTCATTTTCAGAGGGACAGTTCAAATGCTTTAAGTAGGTATAGAAATATCTAACATTAAGTGCTAGAGTTATTTTTTTTTCCAATGATTTATTTCAACCTCCTAAAATCTGTCCATTTAGATGAAAAGTGATTACTTTTTAAAAATGAAAACTGATCAAAACATTCCATGTATTTACAAAGCTGGCTGGAACTTTTTCACAGAAACAGACCCAAAATAGTGGAGACTTACAAGCTGGGCTTTGAAGACTGTTTTCTGACATCTAGTGATCTGACTGTACAATGAATCATGATACAGTAATGCCATATATAGCTTTGCAACTGTGCCTGAAATGTTAAAGTTTTTTCCAGTAGCAAGCTTTCACCTCTGCAAACAGATTGTGCAGACTGAAGTAAGAAGATAAACATTTATATATTCCATGAAGGAGATGGAGGTGTGTTTCCCAAGCTAGAGGGTCTTCTCCAATTACAGTAAATAAGAATATTGCTCTGATTCCCACTACTGTTTCACTTCCTGATTTAAAATTTTGAGGTTGTAAAAAAAAAAAAAAATTGTCTAGGATTTTGCTTAGATAATTAATCCGAGTATAATCTTAGATAATTAATCTGAGTATAAATAGCTTTTCTTGCTATTTATAACTGAAACAGCAATCAAAATGTTAGGAGACCTAAATCCACTTTTCTCTTTCACTTTTATAGTTCTGAGCAAGGATTCCTGTTCTACCTGGGGCGGAGGGCATTTTTCCACCTTTGATAAATACCAGTATGACTTCACTGGCACTTGCAACTATATCTTTGCAACTGTATGTGATGAAGCCAGCCCTGACTTCAATATACAGTTCCGCCGTGGGCTGGACAAAAAAATTGCAAGGATCATTATTGAGCTGGGACCTTCTGTTGTCATTGTTGAGAAAGGCAGCATTTCTGTCAGGAATGTTGGGTAAGATTCTGCAATTAATGAGAAAAAACATGTTTAAAGACAGCAGAGGGTTATATATATAGCATTCACACTAAAGAAGACTACTTTGTATCAAAAATGAATCAACAAATTACAGAAGTTAGTACACCTGATGACTCTACTCCCATTTCTTCCTTTCAAGCATTCACACTCTATAGATGAGTATTTCATTTGCAGCTATTTTAATCAGGCTTATTTTCTGTAAAGGGATAAACTAATAACCTTCCCAAACCAAAACAGTTCTCACATTGAAACTAGTCTCCTATGTACTGCCAGTTTTCATATGCATATGCCTCTACTACAAGAACAGCTTATACCTTTTAGTAGATACTAGTTGAAATTCCTGTGTTTTGCTTAGAGCTCATTTTTTTTTTTTTGAGACATAGATAACTCTGAACCCTCTATGCTAAAGATGATATATAGGTTATAAGAGAAACTTTGAACTGTACAACCAATAGAGAAATATCAGAAGGGCTCAGAAAAAGGTCCTTGTGGATGAGACCGCTGTCAGTATACATTATTCCAAGGATTACTATGTCCAGAAAACAGCTGTTTTACTGAGGAATTACACTGATGGGAAACTTTGGGTTCTGCATCATTCATTCTTCTAAACAAAATGCTCCCATAGAAGGAAATGTTTCATTGGAAGTTTTCAGCATTTTTATGAGATAGACAGGCTTGAATTTTTGTCTGTGAGTATATGTGGGTACAGGAAATAAACTTGAGTGTGGATTGTCTGTATCTTCTTACACTTACCTGGGTATAATAACCATCATGACAAAAAGAGATCTTGAAGCTATACCTTATTTTAGCAAATTGTATTTATTAAGAAAAACTTTCTTTACCAGTTAATGTCTCAGGAAAACTATATAAAACTGTGGACCTAACCAAATGATCTGCATTTTAAATTTTTATCCTACATTCACAAGAACCAAAGGCTTTGGCTGACCTGGTCTAGTGCTGCACATAGCCCTTCTTCAGGTAGAAGTCTGGCCTGGGCAACTTCAGAAGGTCCTTTCCAACCAGCTTTTCTATGATTATATCACATGCTTACTGACTATTTAGCAAAATATATTTTGTCTTTAATGTTGTTAGTTTGTAGCACTAGAATTCAGCTGCAAGGATGAAAACCTAATTTTGCTACAACATTCCCATAACGGGTTTCTCTAACCTTGTCAGGTTTCAGTTATAGCAATAATTGCTATATTAACAGACTGTAAGCTTTTCAGGGTAATCAAAATAATACTACCACACAAACTGTTGAAACATATACCTTACCTATACCCTAATAAACCAAGTGAAGATGCCAAGTGCTGTGCAAACATTTTCACTAGTATACTGACTATGCAACTGTCTCCTTGAGATTCTTCTATCAAACTGTTGACACTGATTTTTCAGTCAAGAGAAATTTTAATGTATCTTGAAATGCTACAGTTACAAAGAAAAAAAATCTGTGTTGCTGCAAGTACTCAGATCATATATGTATTAGATCCAGAAAAGATAACTAGTACCTGCTTAATAATGGTATGAGATGGTCAGTTTCTCTTCTTGCCTTATTACAGTGTCATTAAGTTGCCTTACACCAGCAATGGAATTCAAATAGCACCTTATGGACGCAACATTCGTCTGGTGGCCAAACTGATGGAGATGGAGCTAATTGTCATGTGGAACAATGATGACTATCTCATGGTTAGTAAAATCTTCTCATAAAGCAGAAGAGAAAATGCTCACTGATTTACTGTAATGAGAAGATGTCTTTAAACTTAATGGGTGCTTTTTGCATGTGTTTACTATTTGGATATTTATTCTTTTCCTGCTTCATCCATTTACCTTGAAAAAAACATCTTGGCTTTTTATATCTGCGTGTTCCTTTAACTTCCAGCTTTGGTATGTAACTAAAGCCACCAATGTTGAGATTTGTGGGTGCTTTCACAAATTTTAAACTTTCCTCAAGCTATTCCAGCAGCTAAAAAGTTTTGCTAAAGAGCTGTTGAAGTTATTTAAAGTTGTTTAGAATTTCTTTATGCATAGTATATGCCTTAGTCTTGTCATTTCTACTATGCTTCCCCCCACATCTTTTTTTTTCTTTTTCAAACATGTGGTGCTTTTACCAGCTCTTTTTTTTTCTTCTTCTGAATCTTGTCATGTTTTCCCTCCAAAATGACTGATATATTTTAGAGAAGGGGATACATTTCCTCAGTGTGAGAAATCACATAGTCTCCTTGCCACAAAAGACACTGAATTCTATGCTAAAACAGAGAGATTGTTATGTGAGAGGTTGTATTGGAGATTTATCAACATTGCTATCACACATATAAC